ACATCAGAGGGCCAAAAGGCAGCAGCTCTCTCTCTCTTGCTGGGCTGGCGCCCCCTGCTGGCCCGGTCTTGCTAGGCCTTCTCTACAGCCCGAATACTGGAGAAACTTGTCAGTCAGCACCGCATGACCAGGAAGGACCAGGAAGCGCTTGGAGAGCGGCTGCAGAGGTGACTGGAGTGAAGACGGCACACGCACTGCCAGCAGCTGGGGTGGCTTCATGCAGGGCGCTTGGGGACATGGCTCCTCACAGCAGCTCTGGGTGGTCCCTACTGTCAGCTAGCCTCCTGGGAGACTCCCCCTCCAGCAGACCTATCAGAGATCTCCCCACCGGCTTCTGGGGTTGCTGCCGAGCATCTGCTCAGAAGCCAGGAGACACCAGGACACGCCCCTGTAGCTTGCCGTTTGCCTTATGCCGTGTCTGCTGTTATTAAAGGTTCTGGACTCAGTTGTGGCCTTGTTTGCTGCTCCTGGAGGGGGCTCGGTGCTGACCCCTGGCAGTCGTGAAGTCTTCCGTTTATCACCCACAGCTGGGGGGTGGGGCACCACGACAGCACAGAGGTCTTTGGCTGGGCTGGCTGTCCATGGAGGCCATGAGCAGCCATGCTTCTACAGAAGTCCAGACAGCAGTTCCCATGAAATGTCTCAGGGACTGTGTGGCTTTCAGCTGAGCGACAGAATCACCAACCCTCCCCAGCAGTGGGGTTTCCATTCTTCCTGAACTGGAAAGCCAGCAACCCCATGGGCAAAGCGCTGAGTTCCCACTGTAAGCTCACAGCCCTTCCACGAGGGCGTGGCATACCCCAGTCCACTAGTTAAGTGGCACGTGGCCGTACCACAGGCCGTTTGCTTGGAGTTGAGAACCACATCCCTAGTGAAGGGGCTTTCAGTTGATAACTGCCCCAGGATAGTGGCTCAGACAGGGCACCGCTCCTCATGAGCTCTTGCTTGAAGCAGCAGATGGCACGGACCGTAGCATTGTAGCCACACATCCAGGCCAGATGGTTACCTGGCTACTGTGGCAGGCCTGCGGCGACTTGGCCCCCAATGCCTGTGTGTGCAGTAGCAGACTCCCCCCTGGGCACCAGCCTGGGCTCAACCTCTGATGCTGTCTCCTGCTTTGCACTAGGGAAAGGAACGCGAGCCCGTGCCCAGCTGAGCCTTGCTGTCACAGCTGCTCTTCCCAGGATACCCACCCCTCAGCCTCGCTACCCACTGCAGGGGCCCTTAGAGTGCCACCATTTTCTTGGGAAGACAAGCCTGCCCCTTGCTAGCTTATCATCACTGGGTTGCCCTCCTGTGACTGTTCCTACACCAAGCCCTGCTGGCGTTTATCCAGCTGTGGCAGAGACAAAGGTGCCATGGAGAGTGGCCTGGTTCCAACACGAGCTCCTCAAGGTCATGGCGTGCAAGGGCAGCCTTTGTGGCAGGTGTTTGCATTTCTGCCTCTCCTTGGGCTGCTTCAACTGCAGGCAGGTGGGAACGGAACCCAGAGTCAGACCAAGGGTCTGCCCTCTCCATCAGCACAGCACACAGGCATGTGAACCAGAGCCCAGTGGTTTTGTTCAAGTGCTGAAGAACCTGCTTCCCTAAGGGGTCAGAGCTGCAGGCTGCTCTGGTCTCTGTCCCTTTCCCATGATTTACATGTCACAAGGCTGCATGCAGCTGTCCATAAAGCTGTTTCTATGACATTTGCATTACGGAGCACACTGGGAAACGGACCAGAATAAGCATTTGTTTCACAAACCACCAAACAAAAAAAAAAACCTTTTATAAGTGGCGCACGGTGACTCCCACTTGTCCCACTCCCAGGAGGCTGAGATGGGAGGGTTTTAAGTTTGAAGCCCTGATGTTAGAAACAAGTTGATAAGAGGGCAATAACAGGGCTAGATCTCACCTGACTGCTGTAGGATATAAAGAGCCCACCAGACCTCTGCCCACCTGAGGACCCAAGCTCCACACACAGCCCCCGCTCACCGGCACCCTCAGACATGTGACTTCTGCTTCCACCTGGTCGGTTGCCACAGTTTCTGATGATCACTAGTGTGCTTGACACCTGTCCCCAAAAAGATATCAGTACATACCTGCTTCACGCTGCTGGTTGGGCACCTCATCTGGCTCATGTTCCCACAGGGGTGGGCGGCCTGGCTGCACTGGGGCCGGGTATCCCAGCAGTCCTGCAGGTAACAATGCACCCGCTTCCTCCCTTACCTGCAGACCACACAGCCCACATGGCAGGACTGTGCCAGGGCAGTGACCTTCAGCTCTTGTTGCTCCAAGGGCAGAACCCCCACGGGGCACTAAGGGATTAGTCTGCGCCTGCTTCCGTGGGAGCAGGTTTATGCCAGTTCACGGTCCTCCTCCTGCCCACCTATCGCAGAGCAAGCCTGGCGCAGAGCATTCTGGGAACAGAGCAGTAGTGCCCCAGGTGAGTTCTGCAGTGGGAACGGGGCCCAGCTGAGCCTGGTCCTGGCGATTGTGAGCAGATGAGCACGCCTGTGTGCCCGGAGGACCGTGCTTCCCCGTGAGTTGGTCTCATTAGCCGTGCCCAGGGCTTCAAAGACATTAGCAGGCCAACGGCGGGCAGCCCGCACAAGCACGTTTTGATACGCGTCCCTCACAGCAGCGTCTTCCCGACTAGAACTCCCGGCGTGGGCTGAGGGACTGCGATCCATTATTTATGAAAACATTCTACATTCATGAACTGCCTTTGTTGAGAAGGACACAGCTGAGACAAATTGGGAGAGTCTCAGGAAACCCAGGCCCTTGAGATGCCAAGGTGATGGCTGCCCACTGAGCCTGCAGGCCCTACAGAAGCCAGGAAGCCCCCGAGTTGGGGGATAGAGTAGGGAGGACACCTTTGTAGGATTCTCCTGGCTCTGAGCAGGGAGACAGGAGCCCCTCTATCTGTTCCTGCCTGCTGCTTTGTCAGGCCATGGCCAGGCGAGGCCTGCATTCAGAAGAGCAGCCCTGGCAGCGCCTTCAGACCTCTGTCCTCACCAGTCCAGAGAAGAGTGGTGGTGATGGGTGGCCCTGTGTCCCAGTGCCAGTCACAGGCCCAGTCCTGCCTGCCAAGCAGTTCAGAGCACCTGCAGATCCCCCAGCTCCTCACCCCTTGCCTCTGAGGTGCGACATAGTAACCAACCCTTCCCGTCTCCCCCACACACAACAGCAATCCTAACACATTCCTCTGAGCAGCCTGCTCACCCCTGTAACTGATCACAGCACATTTCTGCTTTTAAACAGGAAATGCTCATTTGAACCTCATCCTCAGCAGTGGCTTGGGGCCCCCTTGGTATCTGTGAAACAGGAGAACACCTGTTGATGAGAAGACTAGCCCACCACCTAGAACCTCCTCAGACAGCTTACTTGGGGACAGCAGCATGAACCCATAGAAGCTACTGGAGCTGGCACATCACCATGGAGGCACAGCCTGCCGTCAGCACGACAGGCACCCACAGGCAGAGAGGAGGCTGCTGGGGTTCCTTCAGGCATGAGTCGCTGTGCCCTGGGCAGCAGCAGGATAGTTGTACTAGTAACGACGGACACCATTATTTTACTAAACCAACAGAACTAAAATGCATGTAACGGCCAGCAGGAGGTGAAAGCATTTTCTGCAAGAACCTAATGGCTTGAGTTCGATCCCCGGAACCCATGTTTTAAAAAAAAGTTCAATTCCCACACCCACATCAGGCAGCGCACAGCTGCCTGAAACTCCAGCTCCAGGTGTGTCTCACGCACTCTTGGTTTGGAGCACCCACACTCGTGTGTACAAATTCACGTGGGCATACTTTGGTTTTTGTTTTTAAGTTGAATGTGATGGCCGACACCTGTAATCCCAGACCTCATGTGAAGTGGGAGGCAGAGACAGAAAAGCTGCCCGGAAACCCGTGACTCAGCTGGCCTGCAGCAGATAGAGTGGAAGAGACCTCACCTCAACATGGTGGAAGACAAGAACTGACTCCCAAAAGTCCTTTGACCTCCACACATATGCCCAGGCTCACACATCACAACGGGGTCTTGTGAGACGGCTCGGTTAAGAACACTTGTGCCATCATGAGAACCACAGTTTGGATCTTGGCACCCACATATTAAGCCAGGTGCCCTCCCAGAACCTCTAACTCCAGCTCCAAAGGATCTGAGCGCCCCTCTTCTGGCTAGCATGCATTCACACACATGCACACGCACACGCACAGCCACGTCCACCTACACATGACAAGGAAGTGAAAGGAAACAGGGTGGGGGACGGAGTGGAGATTTACCACAGATGCCCTCTGTGGCCCTTAGGCCCTGGACTACACAACTGAAACCAAGCATGCTCACTGTTGGGCTGTGGACAAGAAACCTCACTAAGCATGCCAACAGCAGCTGGTGCCAGTCTCCCAGAGTTTAGAAAGGCACCTCCCAGTGTCAACAGAGGGAACAAACCATCCTGAAACAGACAGACCTGGAAAGCAAACGCCAGCCAGCCATGTGAGGACAGCCCGGTCACAGGTGGTCTCAGCACTGGTCACGCTTCTGCTCTTCCGGCCCCGCCCTCACCCGCCCGTCCTGAAATGGGAGGTGACAGGCGAACTGTGTGAGCTCCTCACCTGCGGTAGGCACCTCAGGTCTCCACTTCCGTCTGTGCTGGGGAACCGGGGTGTCCTGGGCTCACAGCTGGGTCCACGTGTCAGGAGGAACTGTGCAGTCCTGGCTGCAGCTGTTCTCCATCAGGAGCTGGCAGCAGCCATGATGGTGCTGAGAAAGCCCCACTACCTGCATCCCAGGTCTTCTGGAAGCCTGCCCGAACCGACAGGCTTTTCCAGGATTCCGGGGGGGGGGGCGGGGGGGACTGCAGGTGGATACCCGATCCTTCAAGGAGAAACAGATGGTACACGAGGACCAGCAGACAGAACATCCGTTGGTCCTTCCTCACCAATCTCTGCTCCTTAGAATCAGTCTCTTGTCACGAGGGATCAGATTCCTTTAAGGCATGTGAGGGGTGAACGGGGATGCCAGGCTCATTAAGAAACCTTTATTGACATTGGAGATAAAAACAGCAGAGTCCCAGACACCACACCCACGGGAAGGATAAATGAAGGGGCGCTGACTGTTAAAGCAGCTTAGGCAAAGGGCTGAGCAAAGGGCTGCGGCCACGCCCAGCTTCCAACCACCCCTCCAACATGGTCAGTGGCAGAGGGCGATGGTCTCCATGTTGAGGAAGCGAATGTGCATCTTGGTCTCGATGTCGATCCCCTGCCAGATCTGGAACGGAGGGAGTGGCATCAGGAGGCGTCCCCACCACTGCCTGACACCTGTCTGGTCCTCGGCTCTCCCACCCTCCTTCCTCTGCCACCGACTGAGTCACTTTGTCGATGAGAAGCAGGATGGGTTCCGACACTATGAGCTAAGCAAGGAACAACTCTCATCTCTCTCTTCTGGTTACTCTGGCTCGGACCTTCAGCTTCTTGCTGAGATGGTCACCATGGCGAGCTAGAATAAAGTCCTGAATCCAACCACACACCCAAGGGGCTCAGTTCATGCCAGTTATGAACCTCCTTTTCCTCAGTGCCATTTCAGGATTACCCACCATGCCCCCCACTTTCCAGACTCAGACTGGGCCAGCCTCACCGCACGCTCCAATGGACAGCCTTCACTAAGTAAGCCGCCAGTTTCATCACAACCTCCGTGGGAGAAGGGGTCTGCCCGCTTCACACTGCCTGCTTCACACTGCCCACTTCATACCTGTGCTCAGGTCGATCACTCTGCAGAGTCACACTGCTATAGACTGGCAACCCTGGCCAATTAGGGCCTGGGCATTCAGGTCCCAAGGCCACTGGCCTACAGGGCAAAGCCTTGTCCCTTCCAAGGTTACCCTCTCCCGGTCCTTGGCATTGGGGGCACAAGTGGGGAGTCAGAATGAGAACATGAAGGGGGAACCCTACAGGCTGGTGACATGTCTCGCTGTGATGCTCAGCTGTCACTCAGCATCCATAGATGCCCCTGTGGACTTCCCAGGGTGAGGTAAGCCTTGGAGCTAGGCTTCCCAGCGTCCCCTGCACTGGTCCTACGAGGATATGGAAATAGTGTTCCACTTCACACTGAGCAGCCCCAACTGTTGGGAGTTTGGGGTATGCTCTGAGAAAGATCCCAGACTCCATGAGGAACTCAGCTAAGTTCCAGGAGAGGGCACAGTCACTAGGGGCACAGAAGGACAGAGAAGGGGAGCTAGCTTCTGAAGAGACGTGGAGAAAGCACAGGTTGGCTTGTCACACCGAGACTCTTACTCCAGCCCGGGCTGACTTTGAACTCCAGATGCCCCTGCCTCCGCCTCCCAGGAGCTAAGATCGCACTGGTGTGCTGCCTAGCCATGCTCCAAGCAAACTGCACCCTCTTCCTCCATATTCCTTCTGCCCCTGGAATTCTGCATCGTGTGCCCGGATGAACAGATCCCGGTGCAGGCCTGAACAAATCCACCTCTAGCAGCTCCTGGCCTCCCCCACCACACACCCTGTCCAGTCTTGAGTGTAGGTAGCTGCTGACCTCTGTCTCCTTCCCTGAGAGACGGGGCTTACGCTGCCTGCCTGTGGGGCAGAGGGCCTGCAGCAGGCCTCCCTCTGAGGGGCAGGCAGAGGACAGTGCTTGGCCCTGACTCTGCGAACAGAACCCTAGAGGCTCCAGGTTCCCTCCGTGCACAGGGCCTTGGTGGAGCTGGCTGGGTTCACAGGTCCTCCTGTGTCCCAACCTCCGGGCCCACCTCCATGCCCTGAATGCCTTGGAGAGATGACTTTAGCATTTTCTTCTTCCTGCTTCCAGATAACGTGGTCATCACAGCAGCCAGTCTTAACTCCCAGCCCCAGAGTGTGTTTGTGACAGGGAAGGCTGTCCACAAGATGGGTGCAGATGCCACCCCAAGAGGGAGGACAAGCGAGTGGGTGGCCCCTTACAACTCCCATCAGGAGGCACTAGAGAGGCAGGACTCAGCAACATGTTGTCTGCACCAGTCTGCTTACAGAATGCTGTGTTCATCCAGGTGCAGGAAGTTTCCAGAATCTTCCAGAATCCCTGCTGTCCTGGGAAGGGGCGCCAGTGTCCCGAGGGAGAGCAGTTCACTTCTCTGATCTACCCGAGATCACGGGCCACACAGCAACACCCCCCTCTCCACAAAGCCAAGCGAATCAGTTAATGTGGTTTCCAAGGCCTCCCTAGAGAACAGCCCTGTTGGGCACCTGAGATCTGCCGACAGCTACTGCTTCACAAGGTCCTCATGATGTCCTGGAACCCCCATCCCCAGGCCCACTTGTCTTTTTCCCCTGGCACCCACCTTCAGAAAGTCCTCGAAGGTGATCCCCTCATATACCTGGTCCGGTTCCTGAGGACAAAATTGTACAGGGGGTGAGTGGCCAGGGATTCGCCCAGGTTCTGCTGAGACATGTCACCTCCTCCAAGCACCCAGAGCACAGAGGTAGAGTTAGAAAGGGGGGGGGGGGTCATGTGTCCCCAGCCAAGGCCAGTCTTCTGGAACCCCAAAAGAGGTAGAGACTTCATCCCACTAGGGTCCCCCAGGAGTGCCAGGTGGGGAAACAGTGGACTCCTAGGCATGGGCCCTCTTTCCCAATACAGTCCACCTCCCCTGTCCCTAAATGTCCAGCCACCAAGTCACACCCTGCCAGCCTGGGTCCTGTCTCAGCTCCCTGTACTGATAACAGAACTATTCTGGGCTAATCTAAACTCACAGCCCACTGGGGGAAGGAGAAGGGAATAGAAGGCCCTCTGTGGCCACCCTCATGCCAACGAATCACCGTGATAACCAGAATGAGGAGGACAGAATGTGGCTTCAGCCAGGGGCCTGGCATGCTTGACAAAGCAAGTCTCCCGCCGTGTCCCTCCTCTGTAGGGACAGAGGGATGGTACCAGGGCTCTGCCCAGGCCAGTGGAAAACTGGTTTTTAATGACTTGTTTTCTGAAACAAAGAAACCCTAAAAGAGTATTGACCCTAGCCCCCTAAACTACTGAACCAGTCTCCAAAACACCCAGCATCCCCTTGTGACAGTGGACACCACTGTAGAGCCCCACAGGTTCCTACTGGGTCCTTAGGCTTCCCCACATTGCCCCAGAGTCCTTCAGCAGGGCTTGGCCCTTCATGGCTACCAGTGGTTAGCTCTTCTCGGCAGAGAAAGACTGAGATGTCCACTCAGCCAAGAAGAAATAGTAACCTTACAAGGAGCGAGTGCCTGCAGCTCCCAAGGCCCCTCTGCCCTTTGGACAGATGTCTGCCAAGGGAAAGAATGCCATATCCAATCAAGGCCACCTGGTGAAACTGCACATGGAGTCGGGCTAGGCAGATGGTGGTACGGCCTGAGCTTAGTGTGGGGGGGCGCTGGTTCAAATCCCAGAGCCCCCAAAATACAAGTGACCCAACACAACAGCAAAGACCCACACATGGTGTGTCTGCTGGCATTGTAAGGGAAAAAGTGGTTCCCTACAGGGCAAGGTCCTGAGTGGGCATGGAGAGAGAGTGACCTTTCACCCTCTCCTGGTCTCCCCTGGGAGCAAGGGTCAATGTTCTTTTATGGTTTGTTTTATAAAACATTTCATCCCCCCCCCCCCCCAGTTTTCCACTGGCCTGGGCTTGCCCTGTCCCCAGGGGCTAGTCCTCTCTGTTCCTCCCACTCAGGGAGAGAGAAGTGGCAACTCCTTCTCCAGGGCACCAGGCTCCCAGGCTGGGTGAGGGGAGCTAATTATAGACTCGCCCCGCTGTGGGGAGTCCAGCAGGGGGGGCTGGCAAGGACAGAGGCTGGGAGTTGGCAAAGCCAGGATGGAGTCTAACTTAGCAGCCCCTCCCTCTTCCTCCCCACCAAGATCCCTGCTCAGACATGGTCTGGAGATGGTACTTAAAGAGTCACCGCCCTGAGTCAGTCAGTGGCTTTGGAAGGACATCAAAGCAGGGATGGTGGGTGGCTCTCTGGTCTCCGGTGAGCGGTGTGGTCAGAAGCCTTAACCATCATCGGAAGCCAGCGGCTGACGGCCCTGACCCACAGCTCAGCCCAGCTGAGTCTGTGCTGATCTAGCTGGTGCACACAGTGTGTGCTCCGTCATAGGCACACGTGCCAGGCTCCCTGGTGGCTCTGTCCCCGCCCTCCTGGGGATCCCACCTGTGAGGCAGGCACCAGCTGCCAACAGTTTCACTACAGCAAATTAAGAGAAGTCCCCAGCTGAAAGTGGCGTGGGCCGGGGAGTCATTTACAGGAGAGTGTAATCAAACCAAATGGGTGTTTGGCTCTGCCCCAGTTACAAGGGGGAGCTCTGCTCCCCATCGGGTTGGGGCCCTTCCCTGAGGCGGTATACACAGAGCACAGAGGTTTTACTGGGGCCAATTGCCTCTCCTGCACAGATAAGTACAAGCCAGGAAGGCAGCCCTGCCTCTGGGGAGTGAGGATCCTCAGTGACAGGCAAGTGACACGGAAGGTGGGAGCCAGCACAGAGCCGCCTCCACTCTGAGGCTGTTGTCAACACAGGTACAAGGAGGTCAGAGCTTGCTGGAAGCCCAGGCCCTAGAGGTGACATCTACCCGCCCTAGTCGGTCCTGGGGCTGCTGGGCTGCACCCCACCCTCCAAGAAAAGGTCACACTTGCCACAGAATCTTTTGGGCTGAGCATCGGTTTCCCCAGTGATAGAATGAAGCAGAAACCATGAACTAGTGTGCACATCTGGCCGAGCCCCCACTCAGTCCCTCAGCTGCCCCCCAACACCAGTGGTCTTCACAGATGACAGGTGCTGAGACCGGTGTTGAAGCCTGAGAACACCCCACTTTTCTAACTGAGGAGGCAATGCTCCCGGGACACCGTGCTCCGTGCTACCCAGAGGGGTACGGGAGGCCACGGTGGCACCACCCAGACTGTGAGTTCTGCTTCGCCCAGTCACACAGCTCTCCAGGACAGCAGTCCCCTGGGGACAGAGAGCCTGCAGTGGGTTCCGAGCTCTGCTCCATGCCTGTCCCAGGTTAGCGCAGGGAGCAGGGCACACCTGCCTCCTGCCACGGAGACCCTCGACAACCACAGGAAAGGCGATGTGGAACTGAGCATGAGGGGGGATCTGCTGGTGGACTCCTGCTCCCGTCCTTCCCTCCCTGTACCCCCAGGGGCACTCACCATCTGTCCCACACACACACTGGCCGCCTCCATCATGGCTCCATCTGCAATGGATCGAGCTGACTCCTTCTCAATGTGAGGGTTTCCAGAAAGAAGTTCCTCCACCACCTGCCAGTGGGCAGACACTTGGTGACCTTGGGATTCCGATGGTCCAGGAGGGGGAGGCGCCAGGAGCCCCGGGCAGGGCCAAGGGAGCATACTTTACATTTCTATACTCTTCCAGGGTAATGCGGCCATCGCTGTCCGAGTCGTACATATGGAACAGAACTGTGGGCAGCAGAGGAGGTAGCAGCCAGTTAGGCAAAGGCAGGCGTGGAGCCTGTGTCCCCCTTCTCCCCGGGGTCCTGCTCTGAGGCACTGGGGCAAGATCTGAATGACAAAGCCTTAGGACAGAAGGGCACCCAAGGGGCCCAACTGCTCTCTTCCTAGGGGCCTTGAGCCAGTGACTTCTCTTAAGCCTCAGTTTCCCACCTATAAAATGGGAGTTGGAGGCATCGCCTGCCACCACCACTACACTTCAGACATGTGACAGGACTGGACACCTCACGAGCACAAAGCCAACTGGGTGTTATCTTAAAATGCCAGGTCCCGAGCCACACTGCCCACATCCTGATTGCTGGCTGGTCCTAGGTGGATCCTGAGGGTGGTAGAAGATTAGGAGGGAGGGCCTGGCTGCCTCTCTCAGCCTTGGCAGCAGCCCCACGGAGAGGAGGTGCCAAGTGGGTGATACCCCCCCAGCACCCACACACACACACACACACACACACACTCTGCTCTGGCATCTACCAGGAACCAAATGCCTAGAACCATCTGAGTATTTCCTGGTCACGGTGTCCTAGCCTGACCCTGTGAGAACAGGGCTGTCACGGTCCATTTCACAGATGGGCCATCAAGTCCAGTACATGTTAAGACAGGGGTCCTGAACCAGTTCAGACCTGTATTCCTCTGGTTTCACGACTCTCACCCTAGCCCTCAGAGCAGTCTGGGTGGACTCTGGGCATCTCCTGAGCAGTGATACAGGAACCCAGGAGAACCCGGCATGGTAGTTCCCACCCGCCCCTCACGTGCACGCCAGGGTTAAACATAGCTGAGTGCTTGGAGCTGAGGAGGTGGGGAGGGCCCTCAGGAGCCGTGGGGAAGCACATGGGGAGCAGAGGAAGGAGACAATGACTCCTGAGGTCCTTCCCCAGTCCAGCCAGGATGGCCACTAGATGCTCCCCAGAGCTGGTGACCTCCGGAGGAGCCTCAGGAGAAGGCTGTCAGACTGTGCTCACAGCAGGCCATGGGGGAGCAGTGTGGGACCCCAGACTCGGGCTCCCCAGCCCCAGATGTGAGGTTCTGTCTGCAGTACAGTCCTCAGCCCCACAGCCACTCATTTCACAGTCAGCACCCCGTGCCTGGGTTCAAGGTCACACAGCTAAGCCCAGGCCTCAAATAAAACCTCGTGTCTCTTTAAAGTACATCACCCCGCAGCCCCCACCTTCCCTGTCCCCCAAAGCCGGAAGCTGCTGAACTTTTATGAGGCCACCAAGATTCAACTTCAGAGAGGCCACACCAATGCTGCTGTTTAGAGACTGAGGCTGTAAAGGCCCAGGCTACGTCCCCTGCTGTCCCCCTCCTTCCCACCCAGGCCTAGCTTCGCACTCTTGAGGACCCAGCACACACATTTCAGCTTCTCCTTCCGGGACAGCTCCACTTGCTCCTCGCCCAGGGTGGTGTCAATGGGCCGGAAGTACGACATGATGGTCAGGAAGTCCTCGAAGTTGATTTCGTCGGCCAGGCCACTGGATCCCTTGCGCAGGTTCCTAAGAGGGCAGAGGGGAGGGAGGACCTCAGGACATAGGAAATCTCTCTTGAGATGACTTGGTGGGTAAAGGTGCCTGCGGTCAAATCTGCTGACCTGAAGCCAAGCCACAGGACCCACGTGGTGAAAAAACTGATGTCTATCAACTTTCCTCTGACCTCTACATGTAGAGTTCTGTGGTGTGTACACACACGTGCGCATACATGTTCCCAAGCATCTTCTCCTGAGCTGCCTGCCACAGTCCCCCTTGCCAGCCTAGCTCAGTTACTTCCCAGTAACACCATCAAATGACAGACCCCTCAGTTGAGAGGTCAGAACCCTCATCATCCACCAGCTGGGACAGAGCCGTGTCTTCAGCCGTGAGCCTGTGAGGTGAACCTCCTGCTCTTAGCCTTGGGAAGAGGATCCAACTCGGGCCTCCTGGCCCCCAGAAGCCATGAGGAGTCAATGCTGGGCTTGGGACTGGAGGCAGATCCCAGGGGGAGAGCCTGGGTTCCTTCCATCCCAGAGTCATAGGTAAAATGTATAAAGCCTGTTCAGTATGTGAAGTGCCTGTCAGGCAAGCACAGCTGGGTTTGGGTGTAGTGTGTGCCTGTAGCCCCACTTCTGGGGAGGTGGAAGCAGGAGGATCCCAGTGAGTAGCCCTGTCTCAAAGCAAGGACAGTGCCTGAGAATATGAGAATACCAGCTAAAGTTGTCTTCTGGCCTCCACACACACATACACACATATACATACATGTACACCTGCATACATGAGCATGTCTGCATACATATACATGTACATCTGCATACATGAACATGCGCATATATACATACATGTACACCTGCGTAGCAAAACATGTACACATATACATGCATGTACATCTGCATACACAAACATGCAAATATACATGCATGTATACCTGCATACATGAACATGTTTGCATATATATGCGTGTACACCGGTATACACAAACGTGTGTATACATACATGTGCACCTGCATACATGAATATATGCATACATATATGTACACCTACATATATGAACATAAGCACACATGCAAACATAAAAAAACAAAACCCAAAGTACCCGCTCTCTTTGGATGCATTTGTTACACAGCCATTGCTGCTGGCAATGACTAACCCAGAAGTGGAGGGAGTCAAGAAGGCTGTCCAATGTCACCCAGGGTTGTGGTATATTTGTACACTATGTGTAGGTGCACTGCTGTGATTGGTGTAATGAAAAGCTGAACGGCCAATAGCTAGGCAGGAGGAATAGGCAGGATTTCTGGGGAGAGAGAGGAGGGGACATCTAGGAAGCAGCGTGGGCAGTACCGAGAGACGAGGTAATGAGCCTCGCAGCAAAACGTAGATTAAAATGGATGGGTTTGTTTAAGTTACAAGAGCTGGTGGGACAAGCCTAAGCTATAGGCCGAGCTTTCATAATTAATAAGAGGTCTCTGTGTCATTATTTGGGAGGTGGCGGGTGGGACAGAGGTGGCCCACCTTGGCCTGCCTGGGGAGGGAGCGCACCTGTTGTCAAAGAAGGCACGGACGATTTTGGATCGGATTGGGTTGAGCTCCAGGTCAGGAACATTGTTGAAGTTCTCCTTGCTGTAGTCCAGGATGCCCGGGAGAGAAAGTCACAAAAGCAGAGTCATCAGTGGCATGGGATACAGGCAGGGTGGTGTCACTTCATCCCCATCAGCCCCACCCTCTCCTCAGGCCTTCTGCCTACAGACTGGGTGAGGTAGGAGAACTGAGGGAGCCTGTCACTTGGAAGAACCTGAAAGGTAGGTGGGACCCACACACTCAGGCTGCAGAGACAGGATCTGCAGGGTCCAGGCGGGGAGCCTCCAGGTGGCTTATCTGGGCCCCCAGCAGTAAGACACTGGTCCAGAGGGCCTCAAGGTAAGGGACTGTCTGAGGATTTCATGGCCTGGCACCTCCCAGCATGTGCCTAAGAGAAACAAGCCCACACAGGCAGTCTCCACAGGAACACATGAGAATCAAAGAGAGCCAATCGAATGTCTGCTCCCAGATAAGGTGGCATCTGGACTGCAGGCTGTCCACATGGGAATATTGTGCAGCCAAGAAAAGAACTGGAGCACTGACCCCCCCACCACAGGAGCATGAACCCTAACACTGATGTTGCTGGAAAGACATTGGCAGAGAAAGGTCATGACTCCAATAAAATGATGTGTCTAGAACAGCTGAGTCCGTGTGGCAAAAAGCAGGAGAGGGGTGGCCCAGGGCTGAGAGAGCCAAATGACCCCTAAGGGGACCAGTTTCTCTTGGGTGACAAATATTCTGGATACATAACTCAAGAGAGACACCAACACTGCCCTGCATGTTAACAACTGAGCTGCAAGGTGTGGGCTTCACTTCAATAAAGACATGAAACCCACCCACCGGCAGCTAACAGGCCTGGGCGGGTGCAGGCGCAGGGCCCAAGTGCCTGTCCTGCCTCAGCAGAGGTTGCCTGCGCCTGTTCCATGGCAGTGACCTTTCGAGGGACCTAGGGCATGGCCCAGTACTTGAGGGGATAAGAAAGAATGCTCAGGATGGGGAAGGGTCGGCTCATTAAAGCGCGCGTGCGCGCGCACACACACACACACACACGCACGCACACACACGCACACGCACACACCTGAGGACATTAGTAGGGGTTGTGATCCTGGAATAGACTGGGGTTGGCAGCTGAGGCTGTTCGAGTTGGGAGGTTCCACAAACAGTCCCTTGTCCCATCCTGGGCTTCCCCTCACAGGAAAGGGACCTCAGGCTCCAGACACAAGCAGAAGCAGGTGACCAGATCGCTCCTGTTCTCACCACCCTTGGGTGGCTTCCTGCCCCTCCCTCGTGGCTGGACTGGTGGCAAGTAGCCAAAGGGCACAGTCACCTTTTACATTTACCAGAGCCCAGTTTGGAAGGACACGCTCAGGAGAGCTGTCCTGAAGTGATGGGTGCCACTATACAATCAAAAAAATAAATAAATAAATTTGGGGCAGGATGAGTTCAAAGGGATGGAGGGGCTGGGGAGATGGCCGAGCAGGAAAAGGCGTGTGTGTGCAAGCCTGGAGATCTGAGTTCAATTCCCAGAACCCACAGAAATGTGGAAGGACAGAACTGACTCCTCAAAGTTGTGTAGACACACAAGAACACTTTTCAAAAGGAAAGGGTGCGGGGTCCAACCTGCAGTCCCAGACACTTGAGAAGTAGTGGCGTGGTGGTGCCTGCCTGGGATCCTAGCCGAGGAGGCTGAGACAGCGGGAACACAAGTTCAAGGCTGCACAGACTGCCTGCTGAGAACCTAACCAAACAAGGGAAGGACGCAAAGGACACACGCTGCCACTGAGCCTCAAGAACACCATGCTCAGGAGGGAAGCCAGCACAGAGTCTGGTTTCCAGGGTGATGAGGGTGGGTGTGTTTCTGGGCTGTTTAAAGTGCCAGCACAGCTTAAATGGCTGGATCGTACATGGGAACAGGTTCTCCCCCAAAACCATTGAAAACTTTCCCCTGCTTTCGTTAAAACAACACAACCGCAGCACCGTCCATTTCCACAGAGGGAATTTCCACACAAGATAACGGCTAGCTGCCCTTGCAGCGGGCAACCCAGAGAGGACACAGGGAGCCTCAGGGCCAGACATACAAGGGCTCTGTCCCCGCCCCCATGCAACCACAGAGGGAAGCAAGAGAAACCAGAACCCTGGATGGAAGGCACCATGGAGACAATCAGATCATCAGAGCCCCGCTCCCCTCCCCCCTTGCAGGCCACCGCTCAGATGACAGTCACAGTGGCTGTGTGAGCTATGAGGCCTGTGGTGTGTACCTCACTTGGGGGACACCCAACCGGGACTCCTGTGATTCCCTGAAGTAACAGGTGAACCCGGCTGTAGGGAGTCACACTGGAACCCAGGCAGGGCAAAGCCACGCTCACACTCCTGGTACTGTCCTGCCCGTGCTCCTTGCTCTCCATCTCTACAGGTGCCTGCCAGACCCACACTCCTATCCCACCCACACCTCACCTCAGGCACTGTTTCTGTGAGGATCAGTCTGCTCATCTGTGAGATGGGTGCAAACTTAATGCTTCTCTCTGCACCAGTGTGATGGGCTAAAGTACAGAGATATGGCTGCTGACCCAGGCTCCACCCTCTGCAGCCTGTGATCTTAGGAGAGGGGGTACTACCCCCACCTCAGCCTCCGATGTTGCAGCTGTAAGCTGGGGATTGTGGGAATGCTAAGGATACTGGGATGGGGGTATCACACATGAACACGGTGGAGCAATGTGGACCAGGGCACTGCTGTGCTGGGCAGAGATCATTTTAGTGACAGCCACCAGGGCAGCTCTCCCAAGGATGAAGGTCCCACCCCCACGGCAATACCATGGAGGGCAGGTACTTAACCCATTTCAGAGACAAAGAAGGCAGAGAGAAGCAGCAGCTTCCTAGCCAGGAGTGGCAGCACCTGAGGCAAGAGGATTGAGATTGAGGCCAGCCCTACACAGCTTGGCAACCACCACCCCCAGTCTCAAGGGAGAAAAAAGGCTGGGGTGTAGCTTAGTACAGGGCACTTGTTGGAGGCCCCCAAAAAGGGAGGGGGAGGGAGGAGAGAAATGGAGAACAGGGACAGCAGCTACTGTCCAGCTGTGACCTCTTGGCCTTGGTCCGGAAGCAGTCACTCAAAAGAAGCAGGTCTGCCGTCTGGTACCCAGAGACCCCTGACTTCTGCTACCCCCCACTCTGACAAAGAAAAGGCAAGTCTTGGGGCTTGAGCTGGGCCAGGCCAAGCCGAGCGGCCTCAGGCTCTCTGTCTCATGCCCAGCGGGCCCTCACTGAGCTAACTGCAAGGGCTCTGCCCCACCCTGGGGCCCTGGATGCTCTCAGGTCACTGCCGTGGGGACTGAGCTGGCCCACTCGCTGTCATCAGTCCAGCACGGCCGCCCTGGTGACCAGCAAGAAGGGCCACAGAAAACCCGAAGAGACACCCACCTTCCATGGGTCCTCTGGCAGCTTAAAGCCCCAGGGTATCTTACATCATCTCCCCCAAGTTCTGAAGTGCCCTCCCCATGTCACCCTCACACTTACAAGCAGTGACAGTGATGGGTCCACTTTCACTGACAAGAGGATGGGGCCCACAGAGGGTCACACAGCTAGCCAGCAGAAGTGCAAAAGTGCTCCGGCCCCAGGAGGCTCCCCGCCCGCTTCCTCCCGGCTGTACTTTTAGGCTTTGCTGAGAATTAGAGCTCTATGGGCACCCACTCTTGCCCAGTGCCAGTCTGAGTCCCCACCCCCACCCCCAGAGTCACAAAGAGGGTAGGAAAAGCATCCAGCCCACAAAGGACACACGAAGCTAAGAAAACCACCGAGGGCGGGGCTGGCCTCTTCTGCAAGCCCAGTGCTGTGGGCTAGTTTCCGCTGGCCTTGGAGGCCCAGCTCAGTTGCCAAGGTCACTCTGCTAGTCCTCAGAGCTCAAAGTAAACACACAGAATGTACAGTTTGCCCACACTGGGGAAACTGAGGCCTCATGGGGACTCTTCAGGGAAAGGACTATGTCTTCCCAGGCAATGCTGGATGCAGAAGCCGAGGATGGGAGAGGACACTGGGGTTGACACTGACTGGGATGGGCAGAGACACGAGGGCAGGACAGCAATCCCGGGCTCTGGGTAGAACTGTGCACTTTCTGATGGACCAGAAACAAGACAGACAGACACACGACACAGCTTCGGGTGGGGCAGGAGGGGTCAGCAAAAGACAGGCCCCATTCACTGTGACTAAGGGACAGCTGGAGGGGTGAAGGGTGTGCCGTGGGACACCCAGTGGGTGGGCGGCTGCAGTTTGCTGTGGCATTTGGGCTGAGGCCCTGGTCGGGCACACACCATGCAAGAAGCATCTCAAGGCATGACCTCTCCAGAGAAGCCGGAGGCTGCTCTCCCCACTACAGCCCCAAGGAACCCGACTGGTCACGCAGCTCATGATACACACTAGGTTGGCTTAGATACCATAGCTTCCTGGAGAGTCCCTGGACGCCGGCTGTGTGAGCACCTTACATGGGATCGGAAGGTGACTATTAAGAGCCAGGGTCCTGTGTGCCTACCGCATGGGTGTCCCTCAACACCTTACAGCTTGACCCCCACCCCCAGATCCCAAACTCACCTCTGTGCAGACAGAATTTCTGTGGCGCCCCCTCCCCACAGGACTCAGGACTCCTACACCCTCCAAGCAGATCAGCCAGGCTCTGCCCCACATCTCAGATGGGGTGCAACAACCTGGCCCATTTGCCAGATGTCTGGGAACCAGATGTGTGCATCTGCAAGCCTAATGCTCAGACCCAAGCTAAAGAAGCAGACTGCTTTATGCAGAAGGCTGGCTCTGAGAGAAGGAAAAAGAGAAAGAGGGAGGGAGGGAGGGAGGGAGGGAGGGAGGGAGGGAGGGCGAGCTGGTCCAAAGGCACACAGCCAAAGCTTGGGTTTGTCTCCCAAGTTTCTCGCCTGACCCTGAGTCTGAAGAGGTAGAATTTGATCCAGAGCCTCTCCCCAGGTAAGGCTGTGTCTGACCCCAGAGCCGACTCCTCTATTCTAGGCAAGGCAAAGCTTGTTTCTGGCTCCTAGCCGTGGCAATTGGCTCAGGCACTTGAGCCAGTGAGGAGCTCGGAAACTTCACGGGGTACACAGGATGTTTCTCTGGGCTTCTCTGCTTAGATCAACCTGTCTTGATACAGTGTGGTGCAAATTAAATTGAGACCAGAGGCCACAGAACCCCTGAGACTATGGGAACCTTCTGGGCACCATGCTAGGCTAGTAATGTGCCTTTGTGTAGCAGGCAAGAAAACGTAGGTGTGCGCACGGCTCCCTCCAAGGGCAAAATGAAGCCATCTATGAAGGAAGCTTTCCTGGGGCCTGTGTGAGGCTTGTGTCAGTGTTTCAACGACGTTGAGATCCTGTGCATATTTTAGGACCCTACTCTCTACTAGAGAGTTTGTGACAGAAGACTCTTCACTTTGCAGAGTTTGTGGCTCCCACCTGTCATTTCAGCTTCTTCACAGGCAGGAATGATAGCAAGCCCAGGCCAGCCTGGGCTACAGAGGGAGTCCAAGGCCAGCCTGGGCTACAGAGGGAGTCCAAGGCCAGCCTGGTCAATTTAGACACAACTTCAGGGAAAAGGAAAACGCAAAGAGGGCTGGGGCTGTATGCCATGGTGATGCCCCTGCCTAGCAATGTGTAGGGCAGTGTTCCTCCCCAGTACAAAGGAATGAAGCCACCGTGGAAAACATCATCTTCCCTAACAGAAAGTGGACACCCCAACCCATCTTATCTTGTCCAAGACTGGAATGACAGAGAGGAAGAGAAGTCCAGAGACAGGCTCATCAGGGCAATGCCAGCGCCCGGACACACAGCTCCATCAGCTCCAGCACCAGGAAGGATCCAGCAGGCGCTCAATGTATGTACACGCGGTGGGGGGGGGCGCTTCAGGACAAGTCCAGGTCGCACACTGCATAAAGCCGTTGGGCAGGGCCGGGTGGCTGATGCTGTCTCCTTCCCCTCCCTGGCTTCCCCCACAGGTTTCTGTCAGAAACAGAAAGGGCCCCTTCCTCTCTTCACAGCTTGTCTTAGAAAAACCCAGGAAAATTCATATGTGAGGATTGCTTCAGAAACTGGGACAGGCCTTGGGGTCAGCCTGCCCAGAGCCACACGGACCTGGGGAAAGAGATAACGGCAGGAAATAACTGCCAGCCCAGCCTGGCTGGGCATCTTACCGGATGGTGGGCTGGTCCCCGCTCAGCTGCTTGAACCTCCGGTGCAGTTGTTCGATTTGGTCCGAGGAGACTGAGAAGGAGGAAGGGGGAATGGGAGAAAGAAAAGAAAATGAGAGATAGTGAGGGATCCTTGACACTGAACTTGAGGTGATTGGAGGCTGCGGCATTCTTTGGTCCCCTCCTCGCTCGCCACTGCCGTCCCTCTTGGGACGCCCCCTTGACCACACTGAACCATGGCTGAGGGACAGAAGAGTCTCCCGCTCTGCCTGCTGTGCAGCTCTGTGGCCATTGTTTACTCCCTTAGCAAGAGTGTGGCTGTTTATGAGTGACAGCCCCTGATGTGGGCCAGACCAGCCACTCCCCCAGGTGTTGTCCCACAAAAGAACTTGCACCTGCTTGTTTGCCCTCCCCACCCCACCCCTGCCATCCTGTCCCATATCTGCCTGTGCGGCTTGACTTGGCTTGGAGAAGGCAAGGTGGGGAGAGCGGAAAGAGAAGGGAGAAGGTGGGCCTGGATGAAAGAGAGAGTCTCCAGGACACACAATGCCCCGGTCCAGAGAGAGTGGTGACTGACCAGAGGGAGTCCATACAGTCATCTCTGGCTTTCCTCTGGCCAGCTGCCACTCACAAGGCTGCAGACCACAGCACTAGCAATTGAGAGATCTAGAATACAATCCAAAACACACCCTTCACATGGGCCGTCCACGCACCCCAGACCCTTGGTGCTCAGGGCCTTCAATACTCCTGGGGACCACGGCCAGTTCAGGCCAAACTTGCCAGTGCAGTGGCCAGGTTGGAGACCTGCTGTACCCACCTGCATCGCCTCATCTCCTCCTCCCCTCCCCCACCTCACCTCTCGTTCTAAAGCTGTGAGTACCTGAGCCCTAAGGACCCTCCATCCCCCACCCCACCCCAGGCTCAAGCCTTGGTTTATTCAAGAATCCACCACTCTGAGTCTGAAGCATCCGCAGCAGCTGCCGCTCACCAGGGAAGACTAGGGAAGGCTGCCAACCTGGACTAGGCACTACTCCAGGCATTCGCTCATCCGTCCCACGCAGCACAGGCAGGCAGGGCTGCAACCCCACACTGCACATGTAGTCACGGACGATTGCAAAGACTGATATCCAGGACAACCGCTACCTTTCTAGAGAAAAATACAGCCGTGTAGAGAGCAAGCAAACTGAGCAGGGTAGGCAGCAGAAAGGAAGATGCACACAGCACGCTTGTGTTCTTGTGGCTGGGCTGTGGGATCATTGTAAACCGGAAACCACCCATGGCAGGGCAGCCAATGTACAAAAGGACGATGCAGCCTACTGATGGGACCGCATACAAGAATGGAACCAGGCACCATATGTAACACAGAACCAAGGGAGCCAGGCATGAAAAGACATGTGTGTCACCATTTCACCTGGGCAAGGCTCATACTCGGGAAACACTTGACCACATACAGCGTTAGCCATCAGGGCAGTAGCTGCCCCAGGGGGCAGAATAACATGAATGAAGTGTGAGGAGGGCCCTGGGGGCAGAGAATATTCTATTCCTTAATGTGGGCACAGGTGGTACTTAGAAGGTGTGGAGCTCCATGCTTATGGGGGAAGCACTATTTATTTATTTATTTATTTATTTATTTATTTGGAGATAGGGTCTCCTGTAGCCCAGGCTAGCCTTAAATTTACTAAGTAGCAAGAGATGACCTTGAATTCCTGGTCCCCCTGCCTCCACTTCCTGAGCACAGGGATTACAAGTGTGCGCCACCACACCAAAGTTATTAGGCGCTGGGGGCAGAACCCAGAGCTCTGGGAGTCTTAGGTGAACATTCTACCCACTGAGCGACACTCCCAGCCCAGGGGTGCGATGCCTTCAAATCCCTGTAATTACACACACACACACACAAGTCACCCACTCCAGTAACGCCCCTGGGAGGCACAGGACGAAAATAAGGATCCAGCAGGCACAGAGAGTATGTGCACACATTTGTACTCTGTGGTGGTTTAGCTGCCCTCATGGCCCAGAAGCCCTCACAGAAACACTTGAGAAGAGCCAGGAGTGCTTCCGACTTGGGACTGTTTTCAAAACATCTCTCTGTATCAAATCTGTAGTTGCTACGTCTTTTATTGGATGCTCTGTGGCTGAGCTGGGTCCCCAGGTTGAGCCTGAAGTGTACCCAAGCAATCCTCCTACCTCAGCCTCCCGAGAAGCTACAACAGAAAGTCCTGCTGCATCCTGGGCCATTTCTTTACTGTGGCTAGTGCAAAGGGTAGAATTAGGCTATACCAGTTTCTAGAAAGCTCGGGTTTATTTGTCTTGTGTGACATCTGTACCCAATGATGGTGTATACACCCTTCCAAACAGCAATCTGATCCCTAGAACAATCCCAGGGAGTGAGGAGTGAACAGAGCTGCCCACAGGAAGTCACCTGCCTCGTAATAAAAGCTAATAATAACCGCAGAATGCGAAGAAAATGCCAAGACCCAGGAAACCGCGATCATCCTGGGACATCCTTGAGTTGGAATAATACACACCCTTAAAAACATACTTGAGACAGAGTCTTATGTATCGCGGGCTGGCCCTGGATGTTCTATGTAATTGAGAATAATCCTCCTGCCTCCACCACCCAAGTGCTGGGACTACAAGCATGCACTGCCACACCTGGCTTGTGTGTTGCTGGGGTTTATGTGCTATGTGAACCCAGGGCTTCACGCAGGCCAAGAAAGCCCTCTAGGACCTGAGCCACATCGCCAAGCCCTTGGCAAACCATTTTGAAGTGTAGCGAGAGTCAATATTTAATGTTCCCTGCATGGCATCAAGGGGATGACCCAATCAGCCAAGACAGTACTTGCTGTGAATTCATGCTGAAGGCATGTGAGCGCATGAGACAGAGCAAGCGCAGCAAGTGGAACTTGAGGCGTCTTCGGCTTGCCTGGGTCTTCCAGTTTCAATCCGCACAGTTTGGAGGCATCAGCCATAATACCATCTCCCAGCACACGGCACCGTCCATATGGGACAGCAGACGCTCTCAAAAATATTAGTAAGTCATCCCTGGCTCGGTGCCGTGGTCCAGGCACATGTGATCTTATAAAGGACACACTTCCCCTTCCCTGTATCCTTCCCTCTCATGAGGCCCAGGCTAGCCTCCAGCTCACTTCTATAGCCTGGGCTGGAGAACTGAACTCAGGGCCTTGGGTATGCTAGGGAAATCTCTACTAGAGCCGTAGCCCCAGTTCCTCCGTCTACACTGTTTGTTTGTGTGTTTGAAACAGGGTCTTCCTACAGAACACGCTCTGTAGACCAGGCTGGCCTCGAACTCACAGAGATCCACCTGCCTCTGTCTCCCGAGTACTAGGGTCAAAGGCTATACTTCGGATAAACATAAATTGTAAATTGTGCTCCCTGGAATTTCTAATAACTGTTGACTGACATCCAGGTGAAATTAGCTTTAGTAATATATTCTTTAGTCTATAATATCTAAAATACTACCATGTCAACAAGTAACCGACATAAAGTAATAAGGCCGTAGAAGGCTGTGTGAATTTCACATTTCACTGGGAAGGAGTGTTGGGAAAGATGTTTCCAGCTCTGGGGAGGGGATGGGAGGGGATGTCTGATGGGGGTCCCTGAAGTCTGAGACAAGAGGCATGGGAGGACATGGTGGCCGAGGACATGGCAATAACTTTGATGAGTCTGGGACCCAGGAATTGTGGGGGAGGCAGAGTACTGGGAGTGGCAGGGTGGGCTGGGCTGGCTTCATCCAGTAGGGACAAGTTTTAGAGTCCTCACCTTCAGGGAACATGGGACTCCAAGCCAGGGGCCAAGATCTGTCACCCCTGGCAAGATAAGACGGAAAGCAGACACAGAGAGGGGGCTGGGGACATCTGAGAGCCAGCAGCTGCAGACCTGGTAAGAAGAGAGGGGCTGGGACACAGGAGAGGCAAGTGTGACCTGCACCCTCTCTTCTCAGGGGCTCCCTCAGCCTCCCTGCCTCCTGTCCTCAGCAGCCACCAGCCTGAATAAGACACCAAGTAGGATCTGGGGAGGACTTCCGAGGAACACAGAGCTCTGTGGCTCACCATCTCAAGAGATGGGCCAGGACCCTGGGGACACTCCCCAGGTATCCGGAGGATCAGCCCAGGCACAGGCTGGTAATTCGGAGCTGCTCTGAGCAGCTCCTTAAGTACCATTCTGCCTCCTCCTCTGAGAAAACAATACCTCCCACCTCCTAGGAGACGGCTCCCATGGTGACATGCCACCCCGTCAGAAATGCTGTTCACAGCTCTCCAAGGTGAAGAGCCACGTCTCCTGCAGATGGCTGTGGGAAAGAGGGGAAATCCACAGGCACAATCGCAAAAGAGAGGCTGTTGTGGCCCTCACCGGTGCAGAGTGGGCCTGTGACAACAGTGCACCGGGCACCGAGGCCACCCAGTCCACACGTCTGTGGGTCAAGCACCCAACCAGGTGATTCCTTGGAAGTGGAACATGGACTCTTGCTCGGCAAGGGCCAGGAGGAGAGGGTGAAGATGGACAACAGGTGGACTCAGGGCTTAATTGGGGGTGATTGAATGTTCTGGAAATATTTAGAACACTGACTGCATGGAACCCAACCAAGAAGTTCACCTCACAGCAGCTAATGTCATTAGTGAGTGTGCATGTGTGTGTGCATGTGCGTGCATGTGTGTGTATGAGTGTACGTGTGTGTGCATATGCACACATTTGTGTATGTGTGTGCATGCGTGTGTGTGTACATGTGTGTATGAGCATTCATGTGTGTGCATGTGTGTTGCATATGTGTATGCATGTGTGTGTATGTGTGTGTGTGTGTGTGTTTACGTGAGTGCACATGAAGGGGGTGAGGTCAACATCTCCTGTCTTCCTATCACTCTCTACCTTGTTTACTGAGCCAGTGTCACTCACTGTACCCCAGTTCACAGATTCAGTGGACTGACTGGCCAGTACCACCCAGCCCCAGGGTCCCTCCCCTCTCTGCCTCCCCAGCTTTGAGATTAGATGTATGTTACCACATTTCACATGGGTGGGAGGGATCAAACTCTGGTTCTCATGCTCACAGGATGCTTCACCGACCGAGTCATTTCCCAGTCCTAAAATGGTAAATTTTATGTCACACGAACTTTGGTCCCAATTGAAAAATCACTGTCTACTTAGCTCCAAATCTCAGCAGAGGAACAAGAGTCATCAGCTTGGCTGTGACAGGCTGGCTGTGCCCTGAGCCACTCCAGTCTGCAGGGCTTTTCTGCTGCCTCTGGGCTCCACAGGGAGGCCACCTGGGGCTCCAGACACAGCAGTGACTAATGCAGGACTGGGAAGGGAGGCCGGGCTTCCGGAGCCTTGAGCCTCCTCGCAGGGGATCCTACCAGCTGCCCTCTCACGAACACCCTCCCTCCACCTGCCAGCGCCTCGGCAGCCGCAGCCCTGGCGTGCACCCACCATATTGCCATGGACTCTGAAGCCTCCCAAGGATGCGCCTGACTGTTCGAAGTGGTTTTTCCAATCCAACAGGGGAGACAGGAACACAGACCCTCAGACCAACAAGGAGGGGGAACACAGGCCCTCAGACCAAAGAGGAGGGAATGCAGACCCTCTGACCAACAAGGAGGAGGGAACGCAGACCCTCGAACCAACAAGGAGGAGGGAACGCAGACCCTCGGACCAACAGGGAGGAGGGAACGCAGACCCTCAGACCAACAGGGAGGAGGGAACACAGACCCTCGGACCTGCTTCGCATAGATGTCAGCCCAGTACAAAAGCCACAGATTCCCCGGGGCAGAGCCAGCCCAGCCCACATCAGCAGGGAAACACCATCTGTGGTCACCTCCGGCACCAAGGGTCCCGCTGGGGTCTCTGTGGGCTTCTTCAGCACAGAACACACCCTTGGTGGAGGGGATGTGCTGGGTGGGTTGCTTTTGCTCTGACACATACCCTGCACTCTGAGCAAATGAGACAACACAGAAAACTGTTTGAGTGGAATAGAGTGGCTCTGAGCACTACAGGTGGGGTGTGCCCGCCTTTCCCCAGCCCTGCTTGGCTCTTAACTGTTCGCCTTATAGCAGGAATAGAGAGGGTGACAGCCTGACTCACAGGCAGGAGCTGAGCCAGGGCTGGGCAGGCGACAGCTCGGCTTTCCCAACAGTGCCAATGGCAGCACACCCCCTTCCCTGCTCAGGAGGCAGGATCAGAGAGGCAGTGTGGCTCGCTGGAGGTCACACAGCTCAGAACAGCAGAGGTAGGATTTGTTCCTCCTGCCACGTTCTGTGCCCCGTGTGCTAGAGCAAGCGGCATTTTACATTTCTGCATTAGAGTGGGATGATATAGAAGGGTGGGGCAACCTCCAGGTGCCACGCATGCACAGCATCCAAGAGACAGCTCAGTTTCGCCTTCAGAACCATCTCAGCTCCAGATTTATCCTGAGGCTGAATGGAGTGG